CTTGTTTTACTCTTTGTTCTTTCTTTCCGTTCTTCATTCACTTTCTTCCATCTTCTATTTCTTTTACTCTCTATTCCTCTTTACGCTCTTTTTTTTTTTTTTTTACAGCTGTTTTCATAAATTCTGGAGCACCTAAAATTACTTTTTACCTGAGACCTCTTCGATCTTGTTCTAATAATAATCTAACTTTTCAGAAACTACAACATTGTCTCTGAGTTCGTATTTCGAGGATAACGGTTGGTTTCTGAAAAGTTAGATGTTTCTGAAAAAAAGAAAATTTTTAGCATCCTAAAATTTATGAAAACGGCTGTTCTAACATTTTTCTTTTCTTTTTTCCAGGTTTAGTTCTCTCGCTATTAGAGTCGAGCTTTTGAAGTATTGTCATTGGAGTCGTCGTTATTGCAGTCTTCGAGACCTTCATCATTGAAACCGCAGTAACTGGTGCTTCTGTTTTTTGAACTGTTGATATTTAAGACTGCACTTTTGAAGCCGTCGGTATTTTGCTGCAGAGTTTTCTCGTTGAAGCTGTTGTCATTGATATGATTTCGTTGTGGATGAAAATGTTTTGTCTAAATCAGGTTGATGCCTGATGAATAACGAAACATTTGTCATTGATGATTTCGTTGTGGATGAAAATGTTTTGTCTAAATCAGGTTGATGCCTGATGAATAACGAAACATTTGTCATTGATGAATTGAATGAATTTCGAAACTTATGATGAACTAATTATGTAATATTAATGACCTATTCTAAACATATCAAGATCTGCAAAATGTTACAACATTCCCGTTCACATTTCATGTGAATCGTACTGGTAACACACCGATACTATTCGCAAATGTAATTATGATGAATTTCTTATCTCATATTAATCACTAGCAAACTACAAAGTTATGCATTGCACAATAGAATACGTAATCACTAAATCAATCAAGATCGTTTTTAAAGGCTACATTTCTAAAATGTATATATAAACCATTTTAAACAATTAAATCATGATTTTGTGCCGGTAATCAAATTTTGACCAGCCTGACATGAATTCCGAACACGTGCGAAAGAAGAAAAAAGCAAAAATAAAAACTGGCATGCATTAATTAAAAATGCCGGGAACGAAATTTTACAAATAACATGCAACTGTCTATGGCTATAGCTTCTAATGTTGACGTCCTAACCCTAAATTTGTATTTTATTTATTTACTTTCCTTTTTTTAGTAACAAAAAAGTTAAATCCATAGTTGGAATAGACAGGTTATTAACATGCAATTATGTACGTACCCATTTGGAAAAAGATAATCTGCATTCTTTAATAAAGTTCTCACGGAATTATCTTGAATATTTAACGTTCATCTTTAACGATCTAAGTCGCAAATCATAAAAATTCAATGTCTTCAAAACTCAATCATGATAAAGAGGTAAAGATAGTCTTTTATGTTCTTAATTCAAAATGGTTTCTAATATAAATTTTTATAGAATACTTTCCGATTTTCCTTTTCATACTTGAGCCAATTTTCCTTTCCATACGTGAGCGGCAGCTTACCTCTAAGGATTTTGGCAACCCTACTTGAATATGTCCCTGGACTATCAAGTTATCTTTACAATAATGATCGGTATTGTAGGGATTGCGAGATATATTTGCATTCTGATTATTAATCGTAATACTATTAAAACAGGAAAAAGAAAAACCAAATATTATAGTAAATTATAACGTCAAAGATATTGATCAACTATATATATTAGTTCCAAATAAGCTTACTCAAAACAGAATTCTTGCAAATTTGTTTTTCCAATGATGATAGCACCTTGTTCTCTTAATTTTTTTACCAAAAATGCATCCTTTGAAGCTGGGTTTCCTTGATTAAGAAATGATGTTCCAACACGTGTCTCATAGCCTATAACATCGATCACATCCTTAAACGCCACAGGAACACCGTCGAGAGGTCCCAATGTTTGGTTTTGATTATATCGAGAGGTCGACGCCTCAGCTTGCGCTATAATATCATCCTTGTGATATTGACACATACCTAAAATTGCCGCATTATAATTTAAATTTTATTAATGAAGTTAAATATTAAAATAATTAAAAGCAAACTAACCGTTAAGAGGTGGGTCACACGCCTTAGAGCAAGATTGAATTATTTTATCAATTAATTTCTCGCATACCTTTTTTATGGAATTATATAAAATTTATTGTTAAAATTACTGTATATGAATATGATTTAAAGCAATAAAAGTAATATCATTCTTAACATACTTGTAGAGGTGTAATCCTTTTAGTAAAGTATGCATCAGTATAATCGCGTGCGCATAAAAATCTTTGGTTTGCTGGAGCTGGATTATGTTCTTGATTTTT